CTGGGAGCCAGGAAACTAGGTTGAGAACACAATAGTGCCATTTATGAGTCATGTCATCTCCCCGTGCCTCATTTTATTCAGCTGTAAAAGAAGATTTTGAGGGATGTGAGTACAAGTCTAAACCCTCAACTTTCCAATATAACCTCTCCATATTCTAGTGTGAAGCCACTTTCTTCATACTTTAAATACAATGTCAGAACCACAACAAAAAGACAATATGTTATTCCCCATGCAGCATCCCTTGTTTTCCAACTCCAGAGGTGTTGCTATAGCTCCCCATGCCCACCTCCAAATTCTGTTCATTTTCAACGTCCAGCTATGAAGCTACTGTGCGGTGGTGCCTTCTATACCTCCCCGACGCTGCTCTGGGCTGGAAATCATCGCTTGTTTTGATAACTTCTCCCAGTATGGGATCTACAACTCACTAAAGCACTTATTCCTTTCTCCCTTGCAATTCATGCACTTGTTCTTATCTCTCTGCTACGTTATAGCTTCTCTGAGGGCAGTGCCATCACTTATTAATCTTTATATCTTCCTTGGTAGCTACCATAGACTTGCCTGTAGCAGGAATTTAATTAACGTTTATTGTGTCAATGAATTAAAAAAAAGGTTATCTATACTATTTTACTCAATAGCAAGATAAGATGATATAAGATCAGAGATGTGAAAGCCTTGGGAAAGTAAAAGTTTTATTGAAATGAAAGGCCTGATGGCTGGAATACCATACAGGCACATTTGACAAGGGAATAAAACTCCTTGAGGGTTATTCACAACTGACAGAACTCCGAGGTGTGACTTGGCTACTAAAGAAATTCTTGGGCCTAAGTGTAGCTTTACGAAAAGTTGAGATAACGTGCTTGGAGAACACTGGAAGATATAAAATGCCAAAAAGAACAGCTTTTTCAGAGCTGTCAAGGCGTCTCAGTTTGTTTTCATGCAGAGAGACTTGTCAAACTGCCACTAACTATCTTGCCTTCTTGTCATAGCTAAGTTTCTATACGTTGTGCCAACTCTACTTTCTTGGTAGCCAAGAAATTTCACCAAAGTTTGATAAAGCCACTGCAGCAAGCCAATGTGTTAGAGTGTCATTGCTGAAGTCATCTATGGTTTGGCACCATGCCTGGTGGAACGTCAAAGGAATCAGAGATGGATTCTGAAAAGCTGATGCTGACGGTCTGGAATGAAGGCCCAAGCCAGGTAGAAGGTCACAATAACGCTGCAGAGGCATTGTGTCAAACAAAATTTCCTTTGTTTGAAAAGAATTCATGTAAAGACTAATTCTGGGACCACAAAGCATAAGTAACTCAGACCTTGCCCCTCGAAGTGTGGTCTGCAGACCAGCAGCCTCGGCATCACCCTGGGGCTACTTAGAAATGCAGGCTCTCAGGTCACTGTCCCCATTTACTCAGTGAGAACCTGCATTTTAACAAGATCCTGAGTGCTTCATACTCACGTTAGACTTTGAGAGGCACCACTCTAAGACAAGATGGTCAAGGAAAAAAACTCAGCAATTTTTATACCTCATTGCAATTGCGAAAGGTTTAAAAAATACAGAGGCGAAAATTTCCCATTGAATTCATCTAATGAAGATATTTTTTATTTAAAAATACCTTTCAAAACTAAAGAAAATAAAGCTGTATAATTAAGATGAAAACAAAGGGGGAAATAAACCCCTACCATAAGACATTGCTTGTGATAATCCAAAGTACTTCATTTCCTTTCCAAAATGTTGTCATCTGGATATAGAATTACTGAAAATATATAAGTACTTGCAGAGAACATCCTAAATTAGTCATTAGATATGCTGGCTGTCTGCTCCTTTCTAGTCAATTATAGTTAATAGGCATTTATTATAACGTTATCATAAAGCATAGAATTAACCAATGACTATAGAATATTAATTCCATTGCAATTATAGAGAAATATTTAAAATCATAAGTACAGTATTCTTCATAATATTAGTAAGAACAAAATGGCTTTGGAAAAACATTCAGATGATGAGTTCCTGCTTTCTCATTTTACTAACACTAATGCCTGTTTTTATCTTCTGAAGAAAGTTCAAATATGGATTGAAAAGCTAGGGTTTTCCTTAATCAAGGCAACATTCACAGAAATAAACATGTGCCCACTTAACAATATACAAAAGTGACAAATGAAATGACTTTTAGGTACTAACATTGTTTGTGTTGTTTGGAGTTCAATTCAAAATCAAATATATTTTGCTTTCCTCATTGTATTTAGACCTAAACTGAATTCACAATTCACTTCATTATGATTTGTCTGCCATTATTTTAGATCTACTTACAGAGATTTACATGTTATAGTTTATCAAACTGTATGTGTGGTATTCTCCCATTAAGAATCATGCTAAGGGGACTGAGTGGTTAAGTTCACGTGCTCTGCTTCGGCAGCCCAGGGTTTGCATCCTGGGTGTGGACATGGCACTGCTCATTAGGCCATGTTGAGGTGGCATCCCACATCACAACTAGAAGGATCCATAACTAAAAAAATATACAACTATGTACTGGGGGGATTTGGGGAGAAAAAAGCAGGAAAAAAAAAAGGAAGATTGGTAACAGTTGTTAGCTCAGGTGCCAATCTTTAAGAAGAAAAAATAAAAAGAATCATGCTAAGTTCATGAGAATCCTTATTAAAGGGTCATAGGTTTAATAAATGCCAAGTATTCTGATTTTAAAATGCTGTGTAAGATGTTTTTTGGAAAATTAGAATCTTATTATACTTGCTGCTTACATATAAAGGCACTTTTCTGTGAATATTCTTGTGCATTTGAATGAGTATATAAAAAAAGATTCAATCTTAGGCTAATATGGAGGAGCATATTTTGAGTTACTCACTTAATAAATATTCATTTAGTAACTGATATGTGCCAGGCACTCTGCAAGGCCTTAAGAATCCAAAGAGAATAAGACAATATCCCTTCTCTCAAGGAGTTTAGTCTTCCAGGAAGAAAAGACAGCTAAACCAATGCAACACCAGGCAGTCTGCATTATCATGGAGGTAATGGATTAGGTGTATCCATGATGCAGTTTGCTGTCTGAAGACTGGTCTAGAGAAATCAGGGAAGTTATCAGGGGTTGGATTTTTGGAAGTAGAGCCTGAGACAGGGATTCTTGAGAAAGTGATTTCTAGGAAGAGTGCTCTCAGGGGAAGGGGATGGGAAAAGAAGACTAGGAGGGGCAAAGCTGAAGACGGATGTGGTCTCAGCTGAAGATCAGTTTCAGCCTGGTCTCAGAGGAGGATTTTGTATTTATTCCCCCTGCAGTGAGGGGCTGGGTCACCCCATCATTGGTTTCGGGTTAGTGGGGGTGAAGGACATGGTGGCAAGGTTCTCCCCAGGAGGATGAGCAGGATTGGTAATGTTAGAGTTTATCAGGAAATAAAAAGAAGACACATCTAGCAAATGTGATAGTATAAGGTGGAGAGATGCAGAGATATGAAATAATATATGTAATGGTCAAGGGATTTCCAAAAAGTACGGAGCAAAGATCGTTCCAACTGACAATTAGCTCTTAACTATAGAAATTAGTTCGTGTAATGTTGCAGGCTAAACCCAGAGGACATGCTTCCTGATCATTATCAGTCAATTATATGATAGCACGTCTAATACGGTTTGAATGTTCATGACAAAACCTATTTCAATTTATATTACTTTGAATCCACAGGAGTATTTCCCAACTGAGATAATGCTCAAAACGTATTTCTTCTTCTTATCATTTCTATAATGCAGAAATAACTCTATGACATTTCTATAGGTTAAAGTTGTCATATTCACTGACTTCTTTAATTCATCTGAAGGCTTAGTATGTGCCAAGCATTATACTTAGGCTAAATATGTGTTTATGTACTTCTGATTTAGCTCATTATGCTTTAATAAAGCTCCACTGTAATCAAATAATATGTAATGGATTCAATTCTCCCTCAAATATTCTCAATAATAATAATAATAGCTAATATTTTATGAGTGTGTTAACTATGTACTAGGCATAGTGCTAAATCCTTTACATTTATTTACTAATTTAATCACTGTAACAACCCTATAAATAGGGATCATAATTAATTCCATTTTATTGATGAAGAAATAGGCTGACAGAGGCTAGTGTCTTGCCTGAACTCATTTACCTGGTGTGCAAGATTGCTCCTTGACCACCGTGGTGTACTGTCCCCAGGAAACCAGAAGGACTGAATTTTCAGGAATTGACTAGATGCAAAAACTTTCAGTATGTTTTTTTTTATTCAAGTTGATCTTGTTGGAAGTTTCAAGTTACATTTGATGTGTGTGTGTGTGTGTATGTGTGTGTTAAAAGTATGTCTTAAATTTGATTCTGGCATCTGTGAAATAAGGTTATTTTACATTAAATATCAACCAAGTTATAAAGACAACTTGTTGTAAGAATCAAAGGAATTATATACAATAAATTAATTTAAAATCTAGGATATGGACTAAAGCATAATAGCAAGACATATGAACAGAAATATTATTTATCAAGTTAAATGATCTACCTAGCCCTCAGAAATCTGACTCCTGTCTCAATGACTCTAATGAAATTGTTTTTTTAGAAATAATACCCACTGCACAAAGTTATGTGAAGATCATGAAAACGTATTAAAATACTTTGTAAACTATAAATGTAACAGGTTAGCGATCACAGTCAAATTCAAAGGTTTTTCTTTCACTTTTATTCTCTTATATTTTTATTGATATGAATCTTATTTTTTTAAATTTGTCATTATCATTAGCCTCCTTGGTCCCCAGACACCATGACTCTTGGCTGCCACTTCTCTATTGCAAATTTAATCTAAGTTCTAGAGGATTTTCTCAGACAAATGTAAGCATGTCCTCAAGAAGATGCTACTCTTTTGGTTCTGTTCTTTAACATTTTAAGTTTACTGCATACAACCAACTAAAATATCCAACTCTTGTTGACTTTCATATGTTGTCATTAATCTCAATTACAGATTTTATTACTTACATATTTTGGAATTGAGAACATTTTCTACCAAATCGACTTACTTAGTAATGTGCAAATTTTAGATTTATTGATATTGTTGAACATTCACTTCAAAGGCTAGACATAAATCATTATCCATATCTCTGATTATTCCTTGAGGATGTTACTAGCTATGGGAATACAAGGTAAAAAGAGGGTACAAAACTTTTAAGGCCCTTGATTCACGTTGCCAAATTGCTTCCAAAGATCATGCCCATTTGCACTCCAAACACAGGACATGATAGTGCCTTTCTCACAGCATTCTCAGCATTATTCAATAGCATTTATTTTCTGAGGTGGCAGGAGTGAAAATACCCACTTATCAATCAGAGAACTGAAATTCATAAAGATTAAATTATTTTTCATCATCAGTGGATAAGATCATAGATAGACAGACAGATATGGGAACAAAACACAGCACTCGGGGCTAAACTGCAGTACCATACAACCCAGCTCAAGCTCTTGAGCCATACTAATGGGTTCTCATCCCTCCCCTGCCACTCATTGTGTGTGACCCTCATCTCCTCATCTGTAAAATGGGCATAACAGTAACTACTTACAAGTTACTTTGAAAAGTAAGTAGATAACACACGTGTAGCACTTATCTAATGCTTGGTTCACAGAACGAGGGCTCATCATTTTCTAAAAATTGATATTTATTGTCTCTGAAGACATTAATTTGAACAAATTTTAATCTAGGCATTGAAACCAGAAATTTCTAAACAGAAAATTATGTATTACAACTTGCCATATGCTTCATGATAACAACAGAAAATAGGTAAATTGCTTCCAAAATAAATGAGTTCTCTCTAGGAAATATCTTCCATCCTAGAGCTTCAGCTAAATATTAGATATGATCTCTAAGACTTAAGAAACATCACCAACAACTTTGAATAATATAGCAATTAGACAAAATGGGCGCTAGTCCTTTGCTCTCATTCACAGGAAGATGAATATAAGATCACATTTTTTTCTACTGGTATTGCACTGTGTTCTCTTTTACTAAATACTGTCAATTTCCATGCTCAGGGGTTATAATGTAGAAGGTATTCTAAATGAGATTTTCAAACTAATTAGTCTCCTGCCTGACATACTCAGCAACAAGAAAAATAAACAGTACATCGTGATTCATTTAAACTCACATGACTGAAATTAATGGTATTACTACTTGCTACTTTACCACATATGAGAATAATCTACAAAGCAACATAACTCCACTACTGAACACTTGATTATTTCTATTTAAATGCAATTTTTTTTCACATTTTAAACCATTAGCTATCAATGCGATAACAAAGATGTGGTGAACCATGAGCAAGGATTATTAAAAGAACAAATTTAAGATTCTACATATTCTTTTTCCTCTGAGAGAAATCCCACAATCCCTTGCCACATGCATGTATTCCATTTCAAAACTACTCACTTGGCTTCACTCTCTTTCATGGGTGCTGATGACATATCAACGTATACTCTACTGAGAACTGGCTTATTTTCTTTTTTGTTCTGTCTTATTTTGTTTTTGTTTTTTTCCAGGATGCTCTAAGGAACATGATTGACTTATAAACACTTTGGTTGATTTTCTTTTTTTTTTTACAACCACCACTAAGCATTTAAGCATTGAGCAAGATCAAAGTGTAGCCAGGGCCAAGTAATAAAGCCAATCTAACCTTGGCCCTAAGAGCAGTATATATTAATAGACCAAAACCCTCACAATCCCATACACACACATTCGATCTTTCTAGAAACACCTGTTCACCTCCTATTTTATGTTGTCACGTCCAGCTCTTGTATGATTGTAACAGTACATGCAGCTTTAAAGAGTGAAGTGCAAAGATGGTGAGGTCCTGAAATATCTGACCTGTGCCCCATTTTGGTATCTCTCATAGAGAAAGAGGGTCAGCAACACAGTATGGTTATATCCCATGATAAAGAAATGTGAATATGTTATGAATATATTTGGTGACTCCATCCATATGTTTTCAGTACTTTGGGGCTATGAGTGCATTAGACAAGACAACAGCGATGAAGTCAGAAACCAGAGCTTGAAAGTTATAATTTGAGATCCAAATTTTTTTAACACTAAAAGAGGCTGTGGAAGCTACAAGTGATATGACATGATATGACTGCTCAGTTTCCACCACCGAGCCTTTTAACCCATACAAGGATGCTTTCGGGAAACTGAAAAGTGAAAAATTGAAATTTAGAGTTTGTAAACCATGATATCTGAACAAAACACATCTCACTTCTTTTCATTAATTTTTAATTCTTTCAATAAACGTTTATTGAACCCCTATTTTGTACTGTGTACTATGCTAGGCATTTGGTGCAGTCTTGGAATAAATCATAGTTCCAACTTACAGAACTTACCGTCTAGAGGGAAGTGGGGCCTGAAAATAATATTGGTTATAATACAAAACAAGTGCCATCGGGTTACAAATGATTAAAACGGAGAGGAGCAAATGATTAATCCCTCTTCCCATTTTATTAACAAGCATCTCCTTCTAACTCCATTTACCATGCTCATGGAAATTAGTACATATACAACAAAATAATCCACACAAAATAGTCCTAGCATAACACAAATTTTATGAAAACCATAATGGAACAATAACCAAAAAAAGGTAATTTTATTATATTGCTTCCAGGATTCATGGTTGTCTCTATCAGAATCTTTACCATCCTGTATAATCAAACTAGTAATCTCTCTTCATCTGCCTATCCTCTTAAAGTGAGATTGGAAATAAACCTAAAGCCATGTAGATATGCTTATTTGAGGCAAACATTCTTATCCTACACTGTGCTCTGCTTTCAAATGTAACAACCAGTTAACAAAGATGAATTAATCGGTAATTACTTAAGGCATTTGTGATGGACATACCTGGATAAATGGGTAGATAATCCCAAGTAGCTTTATTTTCCTTTTGAAAACTTACTAATGAGATAGTTGGTTGTGCTGTTTGATTCTTTTTTCCACTGTGGTTTCTGTTCTGAGCAGATAATGTGATTACAGAATCAAAGTACGAATACCTCATATTGCCTGGATAAGGTTATGGCTTAATTTAATTATAGTAATTTACAGCCCCATTGCACAAGGTTGTTAAAAAATGTGCTGCTTGCAATGGGCAGTAGGTTGACACAAACTAACAATGTACATTTAAACTAAACTACCTCATTAAATTTTAGGATGCCATTATTCCTTGTCTTATTATTATTCTAAATACAGTATTGTGGCTTCTATGACTCATACAGAGTGGTTCATGACAGAATTAATTTTGATGCATGCTGTATTAGTCACACTTTTCTCTCAGTTTAAGTGATGTACAATGCAGCGTGTATGGCTGTCAAGTTACTTGAGGAAATTTCCAGTGTATTAGCTGACATTGTCATTGACGCCAAGAATATAAGCAAACATCACTCTGAATTACTCTTGGAAGACAGGAGAACAAAATAACTCAGCTTTTCATTTTTATACAAGAACACATGAAAGGGGCCACATTGTAAAGGAGAGAGAACTGGACCCAGGGAGAGGTCCTATGTTGGCACAGTCTTAATTTCCTCCGTAACCTTGGGCAAGTACACTTTCTGGGACTCAGTACTCTTGAAACAGATATTCTCTGAGCTCTCTCTTATTACTCCAAAATACCATAAAGCCATTACCTTATAAAAGTAATCTCTCACTTGCTTCTAAATATAAAATAGAAACACAAAGGTGAGCAGAGCATGATGTATGATATACAAGGATACTGCTAGTTCTCTTCTATAAAAAGGTGTATTAACATGCCACAACTAGAAGGACCCACAACGAAGAATATACAACTATGTACCGGGGGGCTTTGGGGAGAAAAAGGAAAAAAAATGGTATATTAAATGTCTAAGAATTACTGCTGTGAGTGTTGGAAAACGAGCAATCCAATTGTTCAAATAGATATTCCTCATGGTCTTGCCACATGGTCTGCAATTCTCATATTAGTCACTCCTTTGAAGTCCCTTGTTAAAAGGACATGTCATTTGGGAAGATTAATATATTGAAGTTCTTAGTAAATTAAACTGATGGAATTTTAAGAGTGGGCATATTTGCATCGTTCAGAAATTTTCTAAAAGGAGGATTTTCTTGGCCCAAATAGCTGAGTCTCTTATAATTAGATAAAGGCTATTCTAATAAGATCAGAGTCTCATCTTCTTGCAAGGTATTACGGTTTTCATGTATCGAAGGGACCTTGGTAAATAAGACCATCAGTTCCTAGAGTAGAGACCCTGAGTGAACAGAATCATAGGAAGTAGAGCATCTAAATATATCAATAATCTAAGTGAGAAATTTAGACACCTCTGGGCACAGTGACCAATAATACTGTTGACTAATGGGAAGGGACATTAATTTTTTCTATGATGATTTATTTTGTCAAATAGTTTAGCATCTCTTTAAGTCCCAAGTTATGACAAGGCACACTGCTTGAAAGTTACTTTGAGGTGCCCAGAAAACCTCCTCGTCCTCAATTTGATTCCAGTCTTGAGCCTACTGACTTGATGCTTAACCTACCAAAGCCTTATCAATCACCTGGGGAAAGCTGATACATTTAAACCACTGTCTCAGCTTAAATTAGATTATCATAGTAGTCAGAAATAAGATTTGGGAAGAAATACACATGGGATAAGAAAATGGTAGCTTCAGAGAGTGGGCAAAGCAAGGATTGAACTTGATGGCCATATCCAGTGAGGTGTCCCAATTGGTTCTCTGAGGAACTAAGAAAGAGCCTGAAGGGGATGGGTACATAGGGAAATAAGAAAGGCAATGAAGTTAAGAAAAAACTTTCCCTTTTCACATTCTATAAAAACTGGTCCCCAAATCCTTTTAAACAGAAGTTTACTGATGATAGTAAAAAAATCAGAAATTTCTAGCATGTTTGACGTTATTAAGAATGGATCACACTCAACCTATAGATTGCTTTCTCATATCAGAGAATTTCCTGGCTTTTAAAAATGTGATTTTCGTATAAAGCAGTGAGAGAATTGGGAAAGCCAAGATCAATATTCAAACATACAGGAGAAGAGCAAAGAAATGTGAAAAACTCTTATTGAAAACAAACAAAACCAGATACATTGCACACATCTAAAATAAAGGAGTAATGGTTTTTTCATTATTTCTCTATTAGAGGCATTTATCTACTTCTCATTTCTATTTACAAACGATCCCTTTTTTATTATATAAAATATTTCATAAATGAGTTCTTATGAAATATTCTGATGTTGAGGAGACAAACTTTATATTTCTTTCAACTGACTAGCAAAAGAGTTTTAGGAAATATTCAGCACACTCCCTGTGTTTCAATCTGTTTCATTTTGTATTATTGAAGTCCATACTCTCTTAGGACTCTCTATTCCTTATAACAAGTAAAGGATGAGTGAGAATAGCCCTGGGTTAAGAGCTAACATAAGAATGAAAATCGAAACTCAGAAATCTTTAGCATCAGCTTGTTAAAGATGAAGGTGGCACAGAGTCAATAACCAAGGCAACACTCTTCCACTCAGGTTTCTGAAAGAAATCCACACTTCTAAGTCTTAAAGTCAGAGTCATCGTCCAGGTGATCACACATCTTGTGGATCTTCATGGCACTAACCTAGCTGCCAGTACAACTTACAGGACGGGAGACCGTGGAAGAGGAGCTCTGACATCAACTTGAAGATATGGTCCTGCCGAAATGCCTCATTCTGTGGGTGGGGATTTGAGTTACCTGACCTGCTCACAGGTAGGGCTTTCTTACAGGAGGGCTCAGGCAGAAGTAAATGGAGATCACAGGGTTAGGAGGTCATCTGAGGGAACCCCAGGAAAGCATAACCCAGCGTCACTTCTCTGAAGTGGTCAGTAGCAGATGTAACACTTGGAAGAAATTAAATGAATAACATCAGGCTGAAGAAACTTTTTACTCTTTATAACGCATGAATGTCCTCACATCTCTTCAGCATGTCATGGTAAATTCTCTTTGGTTGAGAAACATAGGGAGGAGGAAGAACAGAAGCAGGAGGAGGAGGGAGTCTGTTCTCACTAACTACTTATCACTTGTTAGTGTAACGGGGAGTGGAACGTGGTGTAGGGCAGTGGTACTTCAGCAAGCTTGCAGGGCTGGTTAAACACAGATTGCTGGGCTCTATCCAAGAGTTTCTGATTCAGCAGGTCAGGTGTGGGGCCTGAGAATGTATATTTCTAACAAGTTTCCAAGTGATGCTGCTGCTGGTCTTGGGAGCATCCTTTGAGAATTACTGGTGTAGGGCATGGCGAGAACCAGACCAAGAGCAGCTTAATGTGTAGCAGAGCGATTTTTGATGCCCACCTCAAGGAATCAGTAATGGCAGAAATCTAGTCCTGAGCCCTGGTCTGGCTTGGGTTAGCCAGGAGGAACAGGCATCTTTTGAGAATGTACTCATTCAGAAGGAGTTCCTTTTTTATCCTGCTCAAGGTGCTTTCTATGCTGGCAGAGGCCATGCTGAAAACAAAAGAAGCTATCTTGTTTAAGGTATTTCTCTATGCCAAACACTCTGTTAGAATACACACAAACACACACACATAGAGCACATGTTCACACATATGCATGTGTATTCATAGACACACATATGTATATTTATTCACACATGTATGCATATACATGTGTATTTATGTATATGTTCTCTTATCTTTGAAAAACCCTGCCTTGGAGGATTTTTAAAATACGTATAAATGTGTATGTGCATGTGTGTAGTCTATGTCACAAGAATCCTGTCTGGGAGGTTTTATACCCTGTTTTACAAATAAAGAAAATGAAAGTTTGGAGCCAGAAATTAAATTGCTGTAATCACCCAACCAGTAAAAAGAAGCAATGGAATTCTGATCCAAGTCTTTTGACTGCCACAAAAATCCCCAGGTATTGCTACCAGTTATTAGTAATTTGTCTTTTCCACCTCCACAAGGTGGATGGAAGCCCAGAAATTCTGTCTGTGGAGTAGAGATAACAGCAATAAAAGCACTAAACAATAATCTGGCCGTCTGTAGTAGTGACTGGTTTAGGAACAGACTTGTGATCCTAGATCACTCAAGAGCTTCAGGGTTTGACTAGTTACATATAAGTTTCCCTTTGAATTTGGTTGGTTGATTTGTCCTTGAGTAAGTTTGGACCTATTTGTATTTCACAAGTGTAATCAAGTAAAAAGATTCCATTTGAATTCTGCTTCAAAATACAAGTTCAGATGATCCATGGTACTCAGAATGAACTTGGTACTCAGAAATACAGAACATAAATATCACAGAGGAAAGGAATATTTAAAATAATCCCAATTCAAGGTTCCTGAACCCTGAGTTCATGAGACCAATGGGTCCTGAGGGTTCCACAAAGTGGCTTGAAGGACACACAGAATCTTCCAGAAATGGAAATATTTTGGAATATGTGGATTTTTCTGAGGAGCTATTTCATAGCTTTTATCATTTTCTTAAAGTTGGCCATGATCTAAAGATTTCAGACACAAGCATCCAGTCCAACTACTTCCTTAAAAAAAAAAGGAAATGTACCCAGAGATGTCACTCAGGTAGTTATCAGAGCACTTTACCCCCAGGGACTCTAGTCTGGTGCTCTTGACACCCCTAAGCTACCTCCAATCTAAAATGGCTATACCTTGTGCTAAGCTCTTGAGCTGCTGAAGATTTCATAGCAAAATGCTGGGGAATTATCTGTAGTTTTAATCACTATTTTGGTTTTTTTAAACATGGCAATTGATTACAAAATGTTAAAAAGCTATGTCATCTAATTTTAGTTGATTTACATAAAATATTAATTACAGTATTTTAGAAAATCACTTATTTGTAATACTGGTTGTTATATTTTTGTTACTGTACACAATTTTTATTTCCTTGGAGATTCTAAAGAATCAAGATTCTCATGCGGTTTCCAACTTTGTCCTTAGATTTAGAATCCAATTTTATAAACTGTGATAGAATATAGTCTATATTCTTATTCACAGTTTATCTTATTATTCATATATATTTATTTTCTTTATTCTACTGCATGACAGTTTTTTCTAGTCATGAGCACAGACAAAACAGGTTCCTCTTTTTTTCCAGGTCCGAATTAAGAAGTCAAAGTTTAAAGTATATTTACCTTCATTTAAATTAGAAATATGAGTGCTAAGATATGTCTTAAGGCTGAAAGTTGGAAAGATAAGCTGTAATGCTATTTTCACCATATTTTCTGATTTGATTTACTCTATTACCTGCACTTACCGTTTTGGGACTCAACATCCACATTTCTTAAATGTGATTATCTCTTAGTGAAATGCATGACACATGGATGCAAAACATATTTTCTTTCCTCTCATTCTTTCGCAGCTGTGGCATATGAAGTGATGGCAAAAGAACATTCACATGATCAAAACTTGACAGATCCACTGCAATACAAGCATTTTACAATGATGCAGTTATAATCTATGCTTTGTTAGTATGATTGGTATTATAGTTTGCATACTGCATTTCTTATAGAGCGTAGTTGCTTACCATTGTTATTAGCAAAAAAATTTAAAATAAATAACATAAAGGTAAACTGCTGCCACATGAAACTATTTGATCATATCCCACACACATGTATTTTCAACAGAATCAAATATTACATCAAAATTGTGCATCTTCCTTGGTAATTAGGAATCAAAGAAACCAGTCTTTAAATATAAGAAAATTCTTTGTTTTCTTGAACATACTTACAAAATGGAATCAGTTCTGAGGATGGCAACTGTTAAAGGTTTTCCTTAAACATAGAATTAAAGAAACAGATCCTCTCAAAGATCTAGCTTGTCAGAAAGTAAAACTCCCAGGAGTTCACACTAGTCCACACAAACCCGAAGGGAAGATAGAGAAGCACGACGCGTGAGACCAACACTTCGGTTCATGGCTTAAAAGGCAGTTGGATATATTTTTAGAACTTCAACGTCATGTCTTTATTATATTATAAAGGAATTTTATTGTACATTTTAGAAATACATGGGACTGACACTGTTTTTAGAGTGAAAAAAGGAATCATTTAAACTAAAGTCTATTATGAGGTGCCAACTATCATCAGTGTCAATTAGGCTCGTGAAGAATGTTAGAGGAGCTCAGTCCTGGAAGGAATCACTATAGTTAAAGATCCGTCGGCATGTTCATTACAAGTCTAATTTTTGAAAGGTTTATAACTCAGCCAGTTTAATTTGCTTTGGGAAGAGACCTGGCACTCTGCTTTCTAACCCAGATACATTTTTGAGGGCTTAAAAATATATATCTAAATCGCTTTAGCTTTTCAGTGATTTGAATTTTTCTTCACGATTGCTGCCCTAACAAACCATTTTAGATATTTTTTTCCTAATCACTTCTCATAAAATTTTAATATCACAAATATACTCCTATTTGTTTATGTTCTAAGGCTCTTTGGAAGGCCTCAAACCATTACAATAGCTAATTTTTTTATCCTACCCCCCCAAAAAATAAACTTTGCTCTCCTGGGAGAAAATAGCAGCCCCTTTGAACAGGCATGATACATACAAACGCTACAGGTCTCTTGGGATCCACAGCTTTCAAGATTTTTCTACTTATTAATGAATATATAAAGAAATTTCTCAAAGTCAGAGTAAATTATGTAAGAATGCAAGTTCAGTTATGACTTGCTTTGATATAAAAAACCTGGTAAAAAGAACCTTTAAAAGTAGCATTTCATTAGATCTTTGAAATAGGGAAAACTTTGTACCTAAATTTCCAAACTAACAAAAGTTTGTATCAAAGATTTGGAAAATAAAATTAAGAACAATTGCTTTATTAGCAGGCTGATTACTTTTACAAAATGATATATAGTACTGATCATTTTGTAAAGAATAAGAATATCTGTGTTTATAGGATAAAATAATTTTAGAGTTGGAAGAGATCTTGTAGTCTATTCTTTTTAAATGATGCAGAATCTGAGACCCAAGGATATTTCAGAGTCATATAACGCCAGCTGAAGGCTGGGAATAAGATTTTCTTCTTTCCAGCCCAGAGAAGTTATCATAATTCTTAAGATAATTTCTTTCCTTTGGGGTGTCCCACTGTACAAAAAGTCAGTAACTCTAACATGCCAGGAAATAAATCACTAATAAACAGTTTAATTAAGATGCTATTTTAAGATAGTTCTCCCCCGTTCCAGAAACATGATTTCTCAACGTAAGGTGGAGTAGAACTTGGCATGAAATTCAGGAATCTGAGTCTACGTTTTCAGGATGAGGATGTCATCTTCTAAGAGTCCAGTGTCACCTCTACTAAGAGTTCACAAGCATCTATAAAGCCCCTTTCAGTTGCATAGTCTCTTCTTGACATGTGTTAGTCTCGTTTCAACTGATGATTTACAAGGGAACTTAAGGCTTTATTCTTTTTAGATTCCCTGAAGTTACTGGGTTTCAGAAGTTTGTTATTGATAACCCTTTCATACACAATGAAGCAATTTTAGAAATTAGTTTTCTATTAATACGTCAATAATAATAAGTAGAATGCCAGAAAATATTGAGTAAAAATATCTCGAGTCAATTTTTCAAAGTAAATTCAAATGGAGGACCTCAAAGTCCTACTTCTAGTAAAGCTGATGATAAAAATGAACTAATAATAATAAACAATAATAACACCTCAACATCTTGAAAGTAAATCGAGTCTAGAGTTGCATTTCCAGTTACAAGATGATATAAATTCTAGTAATCATCAAGAAAAGGAAAAGTATAAGCCAAAAGGTCAAACACTGGTATATATCTTAACAATATCTGCTCCTTTCTGTCTCACATGCTCTTTTCTTCTCCCACACTGTAGGCTTTTCCTAATGTGCTTGCAAACCTACAAACTTTGGCCTGGAGGGGCTGTAAGAGTAGCCAACGTTGAACTCCTTTCAACTTTTTCTCTTTATAGCTGATGAGTGGTAAGTTGTAGCTGGCAGTAAGCCACCTGCTCACTAAATATTTTAATCCCTGGAATGAAAAGCCTCTCAATATGCTGTACAGACATTCCAAAAAATAAAAAATAAATAAAAAAAGAACTTCATTACCTCCCTTACACTGAAGCGGCATTTAACAAGGTCTGAGCAACGTCTGTGCATTGTAATGAACGAAAAGCAAGTAACCTCAGAAGCTAGAGATGGTGCCAAAGTCTGAATTGCGTCCAAAATAAGAGTGCCTTTTTCTCTGCAATCTGTTTGATGCAGAATGCATTAGTGTCTCAGCCTTACACAGCTGTGATTCCATCCAAGGAGAGAAAGGTCTGCTCTCAGGGTTTTGTCTTCTTTGTCATTTGTGGGTGTTGGTTTTGTTTTTTAAGGTTCCTTCGAATTGGGTTTAGTACATTTATCTGAATTCAATCTGCTACTATGTTTTCTTTTTCTTTTTCTTTTTTAAAAAAACAACTGCGTACTAGCATCCCTTTACATGCTTGAACTGAAAAAAATATATATTAATAGTAGTTACAAGTTCTCCGTAAGCTCTCAAATTGTATTCCAGTACTGACTCTCAATCAAACAAGCAAAAAAATTGAAGACGCAAAATTACCGTTTTAGAAAACATGCTGCTTCCAGGTTTTCTCTTAATTTCTTGTTATATATTACTCTGAGCAAGCAAAAGTTTCAATCAGAAACTTTAAAATTTAAAGCTTTCAATTCTTAACGCTCTCCCATGTCATGATTTTTGCCACTGACAGAATTCTTTCCATCACACCACTGTGTAAAGGCCTGAGTCGGGCTTACCGTAGCTGAAACAACGGGGTGGGGCAAGCTCAATGAGGTGACTTATTCCATCCTGTAGATTAGTTGGTTACCATTTGAATTCTTAAAATAAACTTTTATTTGAGAAAATTTTTAAATTTACAGAAAGGTTGTGAAGATAGTACAAAGAATTCCTATATACCCCACAGTCAGTTCCCCTATTGTTAGCGTCTTACATTAGTGTGGTACATTTGTCATAACTAGTGAATGAATATCGATACATTATTATTAACAATATTCATACTTTATTCAGATACCCTTTTCTTTTACCTAATATCCTTTTTCTGTTCCAGGATCTCACCCAAGGGACCACGTGACATTTAGTCATCTTATTTCCACATACTCTTCTAGACTGTGACAGTTTCTCAGACTTTCCTTGTTTTTGACGGCCTTCACAGTTTTGAGGAGTACTAGTCAGACATTTCGTAGCATGTCCCTCAGTCTGTGTTTGTCTATTTTCCTTATGATTACATTTGGGTAATATGTTCTGGGGAGGAAGAGCACAGAGGAAAAGTGCCATTCTCATCGCATCATATCAAGGGTACATGCTATCACCATGATATATCACTGTCGATATTAACCTTGATCACCTGACTGAGACGGTGTTTGGCAGTTTTCTCCACCATAAAGTTGCTTTTTCCCCATTTCCCTACTTTACTCTGGAAGGAAATCACTACGGGCAGCCTCCACTTAAGGAATGGATACTTATGTTCCACCTCCATGACAGCAGAGTATCTACAAATGTTATTTGGGAATCTTCTGCACAAGAGATTTGTCTATGCTCTTCAAGCTATTGAATTATTTATTTATATTGGTATAGACTCATAGATACGTACTTCACTTTGAGTTATAGTCCAACACTACATTACCTATTTTGTCACTCAAATTGTTCCAGCTTTGACCATGTGGAGCTCTTTCTGTTGGCTCCCATGTCCCTTTGACATACCTTCATCGTTGTGTGTGTTTTATCACTGTCTTACTTTCTGGTGCTAGAAGATGCTCCAGCCTCATCTTGTACATGCCCTGCTGCAGCCCGAGAATTAGTCATTTCTCCGAGGAATCCTGGATCCTTTTATTTGAGAATGGCATTTAAAAAAGACAGATCTGCATGCTGCGTGTACTATTGAATTTTTATTTGATAAATACAGTAGTTTTGAAATAGCATTTTTTTCTGATCTGACATTGCAACTAATATTAAGATAAATAATTTTCTTTTAAAAGCCATTTCCTTAAGCCTATTAATATAGAACACATTCAACTTAACTCTTAAAAACTTGTCTTAGAGAAAAAATTCTTTGTGCTTTGTTGAAGAAAAGGGTAATCATTCTAAGACGACCACAATATTTATAAGAGAAAACGTGCGTGGGTGAGAATTTTCCTTTTCGTCTCTCACCCATGTTAGCAGATAATTGGCTTTGTGCTTACTGCCTCAAAGGAGAAACGTGGCAGGGCAAAAACCCCAAATAACCAACCAGTCTCCCCGGGTTTGTGTTCAAAGCACTGAAGCTTTTTGTAAAAGGATGTTCATTGAAATTTACAGGGAGTTTTGACAAGATCAGGAGAGAAAACCCCGGGATTCTCTCTTACACGTCAAAAGAGAAGGAGAGAGAGGGAGAAATTATTTTGGAGGATTAGGGATGAGGCAGGGGGAGT